TTTATATTTATTTATTTACTTACTTTCAAATTGTAATAGTCAAAATGGAAGATAAATTGAAACTCCCAGTTAATGGAGAAATATTGAAGTTTATTTATTTATTTATTTATTTATTACTGCGCTTGTATACCGCCGTTTCTCAGCCTACATTGGCGACTCAACGCGATTTACAACATTACAATAATCAACAATGTTCAAGATAAAAAGCATAAAAAAAGCATAAAAACACATACATAATATACAATATTGGGCCACCAATATCGAACCAATGCATCTCTAAGTTAAAAACGCAGTCCAATTTCATCGTCTGTGATTACCAGTCCTTGATCGTCAGATTTGTTGCACCGTGTTAACCGAATGCTTGTTCGAACATCCATGTCTTCAGTCTTTTTCGAAACGCCACCAGCGAGGGGGCTGATCTTACCTCTATGGGGAGGGCATTCCAAAGCCGAGGGGCTACCACAGAAAAGGCCCTGTCTCTCGTCCCCGCCAGCCGCACCTGTGAAGCAGGCGGGATAGAGAGCAGGGCCTCCCCAGAAGATCTTAGGGTCCTGGTGGGCTGATAGGCCGAGATACGTTCGGATAGATAAGTTGGGCCAGAACCGTTTAGGGCTTTAAAGGCCAGCGCCAGCACTTTGAATTGGGCCATTATCTGTTCCATTATCTGGAGCAGAGTTTCCTTTTAACTAGAACTATTTCACCTTTCAGAGTTGATTTAATGTTTCCATTTTCTTATATGTACCCTTTGACAACCTGAATTTAAATCTTGATTGTTTATTAATACACTTTGACAGTATTTATTCAATTGAAAAGACAGACAATTTGATATAGAATTCAAACAGGTTAATTTTACTGATAAAGATTATAAGGACATACAGTTTTTCAAGCTAGGGTTTCGCAGAAGCTCCAGGAATATAGTTATTACTGTTTTAGATCACTGTGAAGATAATTCAGACTTGGAACAGCTCATATCCAGATTAGCCTTAGATGATATCACACTAGATGACAGTTTTTTGGGAACTGAGCACAGTAAGCCTTTTTTCAGATTGGATTCTAATCTCTATATTCATGAAGTTAAACAGATACCTGTGCTATTTGACTGAGTATAGATTGCAGTTCAGAAATGCTTTGAAAACATTGTTACCAACTATTTGATCATACACCGAAGATATGAACATTTCTGAACTAAGTGAGGGGAGCATACAAAATTAATTGTGTGGGATGCATTCTTAGTTTTATCAAATTACTTTCATCAGATGTCAGTGCACCTGATAACTCTCATGACATAGGGTTAGGTGTCTTGGGATTTCACAATCCCAAAATCATATGTAGGAAGGGAGTTATATATCAGCTCAGAGGCCATGGAACTACATTTTGCAGCATCTCAGGTAACTAGCTTCCTTCCTTCTCCTATGTATTTTTCCTCTTCATATGTGTTATTTTTTTCCAGATAGTCTGAATTTGAGAAAAGACTTGATTAATTGTGTTGTATTGATGCATTCCCCTCACTTTGTTTGTGTCTGGAGTGATTTGAGAAACTGCAGGTCACTTCTGGTGTGAGAGAATTGCCTGTCTATAAGGATGTTGCCCGGATGTTTGATGTTTTACCATCCTTGTGGGAGGCTTCTGTCATGTCCCCACACTGGATTGTCACCTTGTTGTGGAGGGTGGTCTTCTGTGCACCAGTAAACCTATGACCAAATGCAGTGGCAGTGTTAGTAGCAATGTCACAGGAGGGGAACCAGACAAAGAACGAGCTGAAGAAGTCCTCAACTATGGAGCAAGCAGATGATAACATGGCACATGCTACAATGGCTGTGAAGGTGGACGAAAGCTGAAACAGATAAGAGGCCAACTGTATCAACAACTGAGCAGCCCTATTGAGGATCTACTCTCTCACTCTATATGGGAAGATGGCTGGAAAAGGTGTCCTAATCAATGTCTGCCTCATTTACCCCTGACTGGACTGCAGCGTCCAGAGGGATCACCATCTTGCGGTCAAAAAAGATAAATTAATTTTGGAGTCTCCACCATCAACTCCACTGGATTGGCCATGTTGTCCAAATGCCCAATAATTGTCTCCCAAAGCAATTACTTTATTCTCAACTTAAGAATGAAAAATGGAATGTCAGTGGACAACACAAGAGATTTAAAAATGGGCTTAAAACTAACCCAAAATTGGCATAAGTATCAAAAACTGGGAAGCTCTGGCTCTTGAGTCTTCTGACTGGAGTTCAGCTGTTACCAGAGGTGGCCCTGGGGAATTTCAACAGTAAGCAAACAGTATTTTGGCACCCCTAGTGAAAGGACCAAGGCAGAGACATCTCCAGCTCATCCCTTGTTTGGGTATCAGCCAGCACGTCAACTTAAATCAAGAAATAGTTTTCTAAGATCTACAGAGACACTCGCTGGAACACCTCAGCAAGCGAGAGTCCAAAGGTGGCAGGCTCAAACCCAGAACCTCAATCAATGGCTGATACCAAATGAGAGACTCCCCCCTGGGCACACAGAAGACTGGGCGACTTGGAAGGCGCTGAACAGACTGCGCTCTGGCACCACGAGATGCAGAGCCAACCTTCAGAAATGGGGCCACAAAGTGGAATCCTCGACATGCGAGTGTGGAGAAGAGCAAACCACTGACCACCTTCTGCAATGCAACCTGAGCCCTGCCACATGCACAATGGAGGACCTTCTTGCGGCAACACCAGAGGCACTCCAAGGGGCCAGATACTGGTCAAAGGACATTTAACCAACTACCAAGCTTTGAAACTTTCTGTCTTTTGTATGTTTGTTTGTTTGTTCTGTCAAAAATGTAATACAACTGTTCAGCTGGCTGACACGATAAATAAATAAATCCCATAAACAAACATTAAATTTTTATTTATATAGATGATACTGACTCTATTAACCCCTGATATTGTGACCAAAAGGATCCAAATGACCTTAATTACCATATTGACCATTCCACAATTTTATTATTGTGTGTTTCTAACTGATGGCAGATTACAACAACAAACGAGAAAGCGGTTCTGAAGACAAAGCGAAGCTATTTCCAGCCCTTCGACATGAAAGAATCAGGACTCAAGGTAGAATTTAATCACTTTATTCTTGTTTACATCAGAGAGAGTTTTACAAAATGTCATTTACAATTGCCTCGAGATTCTATTAAAATGACTTGTTTGTGGTTAAAAAGAGTCCGGTCTTTGCTTAAAACTGAGCATACTGGTTATTATGTTGAGTTTTCTCTATTTAAAAAACCAGGCCACTAGTACTCGCTGATACACAGCACACATTTCGGTGTAGCCAGCATTCAAAGGATCTGAAAATTGTACCCTCAAATCCAAGTTTCTAGTCCACAGGGTGGTCAAGATGGGCTGCTCAGAGAGAGGGTAGCAAAGTCTGTTGTCAAGAGGAGCAACAATAAAATAAATTATGCTAGGTTTAGTTCTCATCATTTTATTGCCTTACGTCAGAAGTGGTGATTTCACAAAAAAAAAGCGAAATAGTGGATTTAATCACATAATAGTCGCACCCCTTTTGGGAAGGCAAAAATTGGATTTTTGCCTTTCCCCGCATAATAGTCTCACCCTTTGTTCACTCATCACCTTCCCATGTGGCTGCACCCTTATATTGTTTATTACATGGTGAAAGAAGTCCCCCAAAATGGGG